GAGTGTGTGTGTGTGTGTGTGTGTGTGTGTGTGTGTGTGTGTGTGTGTGTGTGTGTGTTGCAGGTCTACATGTATGCAGCGTGGCACGGCTGGGCCATCCCGATGTTCCTGTTCCTCGCCATCGTCCGCCTCTCTTTAAATTATCTCATCGCCAGGTCAGTGTAAGCCCCGCCCCTCTCTCTCCTTCAGCCAATCACACGGCTCCAATCAGAGACAGTGGGTGTTTCTCAATGTCGAGGAAAGCTGCTCCAGAGCCACTGGGTGTTTCTCAATTGCGAGGATGCTGGCTTGGTAGTCGCGTACTTCCAAGTCACTTCCTTCAGAAACGAAGCAAGTATGCTTCCTAGCCACGGCTTCGGAAAACGAAGAAGAATGGAACAGGCTAACATGTGTGCCACTCTAACGGTTTCAACATAAAGTTTACCGAAAATAAATACCTCACGATGTCTATCTAATTATGAACTTGCTTTACTTTCACGGAACACATTTTTGGTGATAACAAACAAATGTAACAAAGTCACATATTTACCAACACATGTTCTACGCCACTACATACTTACATTTAAATGTGTGCTGCGTCGGTTCAGCCATTCTCCGCAAGGGTTTTTGAAATTGGTCCGAGCGCAAAGCATTGTGGGGATTTTAAGGACGCAAAGTCTACCCATGTGCAGCCTCGAAATTTCCCCCAAACCAAGGACGCGGCCTCAGTGGAATTCCAAGTATACTGGACATTGGAACGGTCCAACTGCGCCACTTGATGACGTAGCATCCTTGAAATATTGGCTTGGAAGCCTGTATCCTCGAGATTCAGAAACTGCCACTACTTCAAGGATGCTACGTCATCGAGTGCCGCCGAAGGACTGTTCCAATGTCCAGCATACTTGGAATTCTACCGAGGCCGGCGTACGGGAAATTTCGAGGCTGCACATGTGTAGACTCCGCGGTCTTAAAATCCCCACAATGCTTTGGCACGGACCAATTTCCAAAATCTTTGGCGGAACATGTAAGGCGGGGCCTCTCATATGACGCACACCTGCACACTTGCTAGCCTGTTCCACTCTTCGTTCTCCGAATGCCAGGAAGGATTCTTGCCTAGCCTCTGATGGACCTGACTTGGAGGACAAGCGTCCTCGACATTGAGAAACACCCTGTTAATCAGGTTTACATGAATCTTCTTGTAAAGGCAATTTAAGTAACATGCAGGTGAATCAGATCAATAATAGATCAGGGGGGGGGGGTTTCAGTACATTTATGCATCTTAACTCCTGTCAACTAATTTATCAGAGAAAATATTCTGAAACTATTTTGAAAAAGTATTTACCGTAAATGTTATTTTTCATGCAGAAATTGCAGAAAATGCTGTTTTCAGCTTTCAAAAATGTTGAGATTCACTGCTTTTATGTTTCATATCATATTAAACAGAATATATTTGGAATTTGTACTTAAAAACAGGACATTTTAACACATCACCTGTGAGGAACTGGTAGGATATTGACACTGTTATCTGGGATTTATGATAACAATCAATTGAATAATATAATTGTTAGTTACAGCTATTTCTCAGACGCTCCATTAATGAGCTGTTGATTCTGGCTCGTTTAGGGTACTTAGACCCCGGTATACGTAACTTTATGACTTGTATGTTCTTTAAAACTACTCGATGGGAAATAGAAGAGGGTTAACTATGTGTTTAAGATTGTAAAATGGAGTAAAGTACTTCAGTCAGGTCGAGGAAACGTCACTAATTAAAATGTTTTAATGATGTTTTTTATTCCATTCTTGACAGATAGGTAACTCACCGTGTTTTAAAAATGAACCAATGATTCTGAGCAGCTTGAATTCAAAATCTTTGACAAACAGATATATTTAGACAGTGTGAAATGATCTCATATCTACCTGTGTGTTCCCATGATGCACTGCTCTCAGAGGCTGGAGGATCCAGTGGAGCATCGTACCTGAAGTCTCCGAGCCCGTGGTGAGAAATCTCTCTGTGATTTATCTTCAACATGAAAAGAAATATCCATTTCAAATCTGAAAGTGTCCTGACAGGCTACATGGACAGGTGAACAGGAAGTTAGTGTGACAGACTAACAGCTCCACCTGGTGGCTGCGGGACGGCATTTCATGTTATGTCATGTCAAATAGTGGAATTATTTTGAATGGTCATGAAAAGTAGGTTTTTAATTGACGAATAATTCATTTGTATTCTAATTTGGTATTAAAAACGGTTGTGCCTTTTTAATATCAAAAATTCCATGTAACCTATTCCAATTTTGAGGTGGTTTAGGGTATTTTACATACATTTCTGTATGTCCGATACATTCAAATGACCTGTGTTACTTATTTTTCAAATGTCTGTTCTTGAAAAGTATGCAAATCAACTCATATTTATTCAAATAATACCAGATTTGCATTCAAAAACATAACATTTGAATGTAACTTGCATTGCTATTAAGTTTACTCAATTTTAAGGAACTTTCATGTACACTACCTAAGTTTTTCTATATTGTATTTCTTAGACCTGACTTTTTTAGATTCCTGTTCTTGAAAGGTATGCATAATAACACATATATGATAAGGTTATGGTTTCAATACAAAAACATGTTAGTTGTGGAAGTTCTCATTCAAACATACAGTATATTTCTTAATGCGAGTAATTAGCTGGGGAAGTTGCGTTGTAATGGTCACTAGTTGTGTAGATGATTGACATGTGTCAGTTTGTATCTCCTTATTGTCTCCTCTGTTTTCCAGGAGCCTCCCAAAGAAGACCTGACGGTGTCGGAGAAGTTCACGCTGGTTCTTGACGTCGCTCAGAAAGCTCAGGTGAGACGAGACTGAGAGTTCAGCGGAGCTACGTCAGCGTGAGACAGCTCAGACAGATTCACTACAAACAAACAACTGAAGACCAATCTTTTTACATTGGCTTTTTTTCTACTTGAGATGTGTTCTGTTTTTATGTTTGTTTCTTTCGGGACTCCACGTGATCTGTGTTTTGTTTTATGTTGACCTTTCTGCCTCATGTTGTTATTGCATTCATGTTTCTGTGGTCTTAGTTTTGAACTTTTGTTCTTTCTTGTGAAGCGCTTTGTGATTTTATTGCTGTGAAAGGTGCTATACTAAATAAACTTCTTCTTCTTGTTATTATTAAATAATTTTCCTTTTGTGTCACAGAACCTGTTTGGCAGGATGGCGAACAGACTGGAGAAAATCAAGAAGTGAGTCACACACTTTGCTCCACGTCAGAGAGGAATGATGGCCCATGGACAGAAATGTAATTGTGTGTGTGTGTGTGTGTGTGTGTGTGTGTGTGTGTGTGTGTGTGTGTGTGTGTGTGTGTGTGTGTGTGTGTGTGTGTGTGTGTGTGTGTGTGTGTGTGTGTATAGTTTGTTCATCGATATATATATATAGAGAGTCTGCAGTGGTACCGCCAAACCCCCGACCCGTCTTGTAACACGTCTTGTAACCCGTCATTCCTACACGATCAGCGCCGGTTCTAACCAATTTGCTGCCCTAGGTGAG